GCTCAATTACGTCTCTCTGAGGGATGTTAACAACTATAAGATATAGTAGCGAAACATTTGAACATAGCTAGCTAAACTCGAAAGCTCATTAACAGGATGCGAGTCTTCTTTTTAATGTAACATTAAAAGGTTTATCCTAACCTGATACGATATTCTGTTTAATCCTTCCCTTCTTTCTAATAAGGATGTCCCAAAGGGTTCCAATCAGGAGCAATCCGGCTAAGATGCCAAATGATACGTACATGAATTCCTTAATGAAGGGGGATGACACATCAAACAGGTTGACGTTTCTTGGAGGCTTCTGCTCTGTTAGCTTAAGGCAAAGAAGAGCACCGCCATTTAAATCACCTATGCATATAAAAATTGCCTGTTCCTGGAGAGTTGTTAAGTTCCTCTTTGAACTGTCACTGAATATTGCAGTGATGTATTGCATTGTATGTAATAAGATTTATTATTTTTGCAGGTTCGTTTCTTTCTTAGTTAGCCACACACATAAACGGAACTTTTAATTTCATGGGTTACGTTTCTGCTTCGTCTCAAACGACTGTTACCGTACAAACGTTTTTTAACCGTCCGAAAGTAAGGGCTATCCGTAAGTAACGGCTACCTGAAAGTAGCGGCACCTTTTGTCTGCTAAATCCAAAAGTAACCGGGGCCGTTACTTTCGGAATTCTACGGTATGCTAGATAGTCTTGGACTAGAGCCTCTGGAAACGAGGTAGTTAGGCCGACTAGTGATGATCTACAAAATTATCCACGGACTTGTCAATACGAGTGTGCTTAATTATTTGCAATGATCCAAGAAAACTGTGCGATAAGTTGACAATCAGGTTTTTAAATTCCAGACGCCCTTCAGCTACATCGTTGTTAAATATTTCGTTTTCTCAAGATCTTTGAGGGACTGGAACTGTCTTCTAGCTGACGTAACTACATCCCCATCGCTGGCGATCTTCCAAAAGAAAGTGACTGCTTTTAGGAATTAAATTCATTCTTTGTTTTTCCTGTACTATGTTCCAGCAATTTTTTCTCCTCATCCTGTTTGTTATTCAATTATTTTAAATGTATACAGTTAGTGTGATACCTCACCAGCTTTACTGACTCAATAACGGTGAAGGTAAAGATCGTAGGTCTTCGCCTCGTTGGATTTTGTTTCGCTGTAAGGATCAGTCTACTGTTCTGTCATTTAGAATTAGAATTGTGCCATTTAAGCTCGCATTGAAACGTTTTATAGTAATGAAAAATACCTTATATGTAGCGGTAAAGGTTTGAACTGACTTCAAAATGTTTGAACGGAGAAGATTTAAGCACCGTGCCAGTTCCTCTCTATCCTTTGAAAACAGAGCTCCAGTGTCCCTTTGAAGTTCTAGCTTCTTGACTGTGAGAAGCGATTTCAGTTTGCCTCTTGACTGGTAATAGGAAGCTGTGAAGCGGTCCAGTAACATTCCATCTACTTCCTTTGATTTCACAGCTTGAATGACGTCGTCAATTCTGGAATACTCTAAGTATAGGAAGAAAAAAAATGACGTTTTCTTTAAAGGCCATTGAGAATAGGACCGAGAACGTCAATCTAAAATTTGTGATCGTAATGATAATTCTTAATTACTAGACATCTGATGTGTAATGGACGCCTAGTTTAGTGTAATGTTACATTTAGTTTTTCTTGTACAAAACCTTTGCCTTCTGGTAAAAAAAAACCTGAATCAGATAATACGCGATGACTGTAACAGTACCATTTCGCTCTGAACCACCCAAGTTTCAAATATTTGCCCTGTGCATCAGTTTTAACCAACCTGTTGGTTTAGCATCTTCCTCAAGAGCATGCTGGTATTCTGTACTATTGGCCAGCACTGCAACCTAACATAAATTATGAAAACATATCGGTTATTTGATGTATATAAATGCAAATTTTCAATGCTCTTTCAACGAGCGGTTCCGAATGGAGAGTGCGAAGTCAGCAAGCTTCACTTAATTATAAATAGGTGAACGACATAAAGATCGATATCGTGTTCATGAAAAATAGTGACTCGGATATAAGCGTTCTACAATGGTATATTTGCGCTATCCAAACGCGCTCTGTTGTCCCTCTGTTGAGAACGCAAAAATCAAAAATCAGCTGTTTATATAAATAACACCAAAACAATTCCTCCAGAAGGGAATGCTAATTTAATACGCAAATTTGTTTGAACTAGCGATGTCTCGATACTGAGAAAGTCCATTTTCAACTTTTCTACAGTGTTCCGTAGCGCGGTTTTGGTTTATATATATTCAGACCTTCATGCAACTCAAAGGACGATCGATATTATTGCTTCTAAGTGATTATCGCCCTCTTAACCATCGAATGGGTCTTCTTGATGTTTATTCCTTAGCATTTCGAACTCTTTAAAGGTTTTTTGGCTCTAGACCTTTACCATCTAGAAGAAAATCACGCCACACGACGCCATTTTTGTCTACGGTCAAAAAACAAAACTTTCCCCTACCCCCTAGAATATGAAAAGGACGAAAACACAATAGGTACCAAAAAACTCTGGTGATTGGGAAAGAGGTAATTTCTTATTATTTTCAAAGGACCACTTGCATCACCTACCCTGCAAGGGAATTTATATGCTTCCCCAGCTACCCCTACACGAAGTTAACGGAGTTAACAATGAAAATTTAAACAGATTTCTTTCACGGTCTTTTAGTATGTCGTTATATTGTGTCTAGCTGACGAAAATATTGACATCAGAGGGCCACGTTTTCGATCAGGGACTAGCATTTGGCTCACTTGAAGTTTCTTCTGAATATTCAAACCCCATAGTTTTGTTTTGGACGTCGAAAAGAACATTTCGATTTCTTCAACCTTTCGGGTCCGTATGGAACGTGAAAGGAGCATATTGGAAAGTGAAAAACATGCACGAATGAAGAGGAAGAAGAAGCAGCAGCAGTAGTAGCAGCAGCAGGTTTTGCAGCAATCTGCAAAAGAGCCGATATCTCGACCAATATTTCTATAATACGGACCACACGGTAGTTCAATAACACATGTATTATATTATATTGCACACCTTTTGAACAACAGGAAGTAAGGAAGTCCAAATGATCCAAGTGATACGAGGCCATTTCTAAACACTTTTGCCTACGCAGAAGACTAGAAAACTGAAATCGATATATACATCATTCTTTGTTGTTCAGCACGCTTGAATTGACAACGACGACGGCGACGCCGGGGACGACGCCTAGTAAAAATGAATTTATATTATAACATAACTAAAGCAAAGCGCGCGCTCTGATTGGTTAATTTAGCGTCTACTATTTGCCCATACCAAGAGCTCATTGTCGCCCTATATATGGGAGAAGAATAAGGGAAAAAGGTGTTAACTGATGACATCTCACGGCTGGAGATTTGACATACTACCACGGCTGTCCATACATGTAATAAGAGACATGAAATGCATGAAGACATGTAGTATGTGTTAAGTATCAACTTCTCAAGAAAATGCACAACTAACAGGTGTATAATTTCTATTTACAAGGCTGACAAAGTTAAAAGTGAAAAACACACCGAACGTTTTCGACACTAGGTCATCGTCAGGGTAAGTGAGGACTTACCCTGAGACTTACTCTTATTTACCCTGAAGATGACCTACTGCCGAAAACGTTCGGTGTGTTTTTTACTTTTAACTTTTTTAGCCTCAGTTGTAAATAGAAAATATTGTAAAATCAAAGCGAATATTATGGACATAACAGGTATATGCTGTTATCAAATTTAAATTCTGAAACAGTTCCTCTAGATGATAGCGTCCAGATCATCTCTCTCATGGCCCATTGTCCGTCCAAGGGGTTGTGATAAATAAAGAACCATATTATTTATTACTAACTAGATCTCAGCATCAATCTTCATAAATGGCAGACCACCTTACTTCTCTTACCAGAAAATGCTGATTGGACAACATAGCAGTTTAGCTTTAATAACCAACATCTCAACGTATGGGACAGCATTATTAATATGTACAATGCCGGCATTATTTACTCTATAATGCTTACAAAATTCCCACAAATTGTTTCCACGTTAAGACGACAGTATGACGTGGACTTTGATCACTTTCGAAATATCTCGGATGAGTTTTTTTCGCACTAAACTCGAGATTAAATTATCTAATTGTTTTAGTTGAATTCTGACAGAATTTCCTTTAAATAACGATTTCCAACCATTTCTCAACACGGTATTAGATTTCATGCTTTAGCGGAATAAAGCGGATTGAATCGTAATTTGAAACTTGCAATTGTGCACCCGCCCTCGTCGGCTAATTGAAAGCTTTGGGGTTTTAAAGTCGCATAACGGCCAGTTTCCTTTCTTTAGGGTTCCAGAGAATTAAGTTATCTAGCAATATTTGTAAATCATTTAATTTCCAAGGGGCATCTGTCAGACCGATAGTTCCGAGACCTAAATACTCTACTGATTGTCTTTCTTGTTCACCACTAAATTTTCTTCCGCGTGCCAGTGCAAAAAACATTGAATTTTTTCATTTTTTTCAATATAAGGCGTGAAAGCCAAACGTAAAATTTAAAAACAAAGACAGACAAAACAAGTTCGCATTGCTTCGCGGAAAAATCATAGGCAAATGTATGATAAATTTTGAAACTCGACTTTGCTGTTCATAAACTGTGCAAAATTCAATTTTTAAGAAAATTATTTAATTTAGTATACCAGCGGATTCAGCTACAAACACGGCAATTTCTGATGCATGTTGCATGCCCATGGGTCGATACAGAAATTCTAAAACAAGCCTTATTTTGTTAACCTGTTACTCTGATTAGTGAGGATATTTAAACCCAAAAGTACTGAATGGGTAAAAATGCCTCCTTATTGTTAAGAAATGGCCGAAACAAATTATTGTCTGAATTAGTTAATATGCAAAAGAAAACACTATTTCGTTACGCAGAGTGAGTGAGTGAGTGAGTGAGTGAGAACTTTTTAAAGTGCCAAAAACCTTATAGCCTGGAAATAATACACCATACTAATTAGGGGACACTGCTTAAAAACTATACTAATACTAATATTAATACAACAAAAAAAAATAAATGACTTTATAATGAGGGCAGGTGCAGAAATTATACGATAGTGTTACAATTCCTTTGAGGAAACGTATTACCACATCAATTGCTTTAGGTTATTTACATTCACATCATATAGGAGAATCTTTGTTTACAATATTTGACTCATTACCATGAGCGATACAGTTTCTGATGGAGCTACAAAGAGATTAATACTGAATATTGAAAGG